CAATTTCACGAAGCTCTTCGTCAGTGTATTCTGGCTCAAATAAATAAGGGCGGCCAAAAAACTCTGAAAAATCAAATTCCTCCTCCACAAAGTCGAAGTCTGGCAAAAAGTCAGCCATTATTCTATAAATCTTTTATAAAATAAATGAATGAACTTTTCAAGATACTGGGTTAGGGTTAGGGTCGCTGCTTGTTCTCGCGATATTTCAGCCGCGCTTTGGGAATCAGAGGTAAATGGTAAACACAGCGTAAGGTAAGACAACTCTGAAGACCACCTAAATGTGGAATGTTAGTATATAGGCTTTCCACATCGAGAGTCGATGGCCACCCTTATTTATTTAAGTCAGAATACACTGAGGAAGAGCTGCATGAAATTGAAGAACAGAAGAGGAGAGAGAGAGAGAGAGAGAGAGGAACAACAGGTAGAGGACGACAGAGGAGGAATGGCTGCTGGAAGGCTTTAGCTCTGGAGATTGGTGGTGTAACGTTACCTGTGAATGCTGTACCCCAATGCCCACAGAAGAGGAATACCTCTGTTGCAAGGAATGGGACCGGTTGCAGCCTTAGCTAAATGGTAAACAACAAACATGGCACCACACCGGCAAGGTAAGACAACACGTTTACATGTTGTTTTCTATATGTGCTCTAACATTTATCCTAACGATATGAGGCGGTCTTTGTGGAGAAAAAGCTTGTTTAGTGGACTAACTTTGCACTCGAAAGGATGCCGGTTCAATTACATTTTAGGGGCGGCAGTAGCTCAGTCCATAGGGACTTGTGTTGGGAACCGGAGGGTCGCCTGTTCAAGTCCCCGTCCGGACCAAAATATGGAGCGTGGACTGTTGGCTGGAGAGGTGCCAGTTCACCTCTTGGGCACTGCCGAGGTGCCGAAGGCACTGAACCCCCCAACTGTTCGGGGCGCCTCACCAAGGGCAGCCCCCTCACTCTGACATCTCTCCAATTTGTGCATGTATAGGTCCTGTTTGTGCATGTGTGTGTCTTTCGGACCTATGTGTAATTGACAAGCAAGAGTGAAAACATTGAATTTCTCCTCAGGGGGATTAATAAAGGAAATAAACTTAAACTTAAAAAACTTTAACAGGTCTGACGCTAAGGCTGTATCTAGGCCGTAGTGTAGTTTTAATGTAGTAGTGTAGTATTAATGTTGAAGTGTAGTATTAATGTAGTAGTGTAGTGTTAATGCAGTAGTGTGGTGTTAATGTATTAGTATAGTATTAATGTTGAAGTGTGGTATTAATGTGGTGGTGTAGTTGTAATGTAGTAGTGTAGTAATAATGTTGAAGTGTAGTATTAATGTAGTAGTTTAGTATAACTGTACTAGTGTAGTATTTGTACTTCAGTATGAAGTACTTTATGAACTGGGTGTGTACTAACGTCCTCTCTGTGTCGTCTGTCTTCAGTGTGAAGATCACTGAGTTGAATCTGACTCATGCCGACCTGCAGTTCATCCCTGAAGTCGGTTTAATGTTTGATGTTCAGAACTCTTCGATCTCACTGAGTTTCCACCGACGGATCCTCTACTGGTTCTTGTTAGTTTCCTCCAGAACCCTGACTCAGCACTAACCACCAGCTGTCTCAAACAGCACCCTGATCTCACCAGAACATGTCTTCAGCACCCTGATCTCACCAGAACACTGATTTCACCAGAACACACCAGAACACTGATCTCACCAGAACACTGATCTCAGCAGTACACACCAGAACACTGATCTCACCAGAACACTGATCTCAGCAGAACACACCAGAACACTGATCTCACCAGAACACTGATCTCAGCAGAACACACCAGAACACTGATCTCACCAGAACATGTCTACAGAAGAGATTTACCTCGTGGCAAAGTTCTCAGACACAACACTCACAACTGTGTGAGGTTCTCAGAGTTAGATCATCATGACTCTCACAGTTCCTCCTACAGAACATTATTAGAACCATAATCATTAAACGTATAGAACAATATTATGACTCTCCGGGTTCTACTGCGGAACTGAAACACAACTAACCCCCCCAACCAAATATGATTCAATCATAGTGATGATGATGATGATGATGATGATGATCATGCTGTCTGTGTGTCAGTTATGACACGGGGAACATCAACGCGTCGGCGGAAGGCGTGAACATCAACACAGCTCTGAACCTGATAAGAGATGATCAGGGACGACTGAAGATCAATAACATCACCTGTGACGCCAAAGTGTCAAAGATGAGGGCCAAGTTCAGCGGGACACTTGGGTACGATTCCCTGACTCATACATTACTAATCAACAATCACTGATAGATAACATCTGATCAATGATCATCCATCACTGATCAATTGTAACTGATGTCTCACCGCGCCGTTTTGTCTCGACTTGTCTTTCAGGAGAGTTTACGACTTCCTGGCGAGTTTTCTGACAACAGGCATGCGCTTCCTCCTCAATCAAAAGGTCTCTATCTCTGTCCTATCTCTCTGTCTCTGCCTCTGTCCTGCCAATCTCTGACCTGTCTGCCTGTCTCTTTCTCTTTGTCTCTGATCTTTCTATCTCTGACCTGTCTGTCTCTGTCCTGTCTGTCCTGTCCTGTCTGTCTCTGTCTCTGTCTCTGTCCTGTCTGTCTCTGTCTCTGTCCTGCCAATCTCTGACCTGTCTGTCTCTTTCTCTTTGTCTCTGATCTTCCTATCTCTGTCCTGTCTGTCTCTGTCTCTGTCTCTGTCCTGTCTGTCTGTCTCTTTCTCTTTGTCTCTGATCTTTCTATCTCTGTCCTGTCTCTCTGTCTCTGATCTTTCTATCTAAATATATATATATATATATATATATATATATTGATTTTATTTTTCATAATGCAAAATGAAANGAATGCAAAAGGAAACAGAAAAACAAAACAGGACAACAGAAAGAAAGACAAACAAACAAACAAACAAGCATGACAGCACCTGAATCACAAATCATAGCAAAATGGCAGCATTGACAATATACATCACAGGACAAGCATAGCAAAAAAGAAAAATTTACTCCATTCCTGTGTTAGGTCACAAGTTTTCAAGGAAAAGGGTGTTGATGAGAAGATACATTCTTAAATTAAAATTACAAAATCAATTGGAATTCATTCTGAGAGTTAATCCACCCCTCTGTAGTAAGTCTGAGATTTCATATGGCAGATGCTCTAAAATTGGTTGCCAGATTTTTTAAAAAAAAAAAAAGTATTGTTCCCCCCTAAGGTAGCAGAGAAGCTTTCCATTGGTAAGACCTTATAAATTTCTCTGTACCACTGCGTTACTGTTGGGGGTTTGTCTTTAATCCACTGGAACAAAATACATCATCTAGCTAGTAACAGGAGTTTTGTTATGAGTGTACTAAGAGGGGTTAGTCCTGTCTGTCTCTGTCTGTCCCTGTCTCTGTCTGTCTCTGTCCTGTCTGTCTCTGACCTGTCTGTCTGTCTCTGTCCTGTCAATCTGTGACCTGTCTGTCTGTCTGTCTCTTTCTCTTTGTCTCTGACCTGTCTGTCTCTGTCCTGTCTATCCTGTCTCTGTCCTGTCTGTCCCTGTCTCTGTCTCTGTCTGTCTCTGTCCTGTCTGTCTCTGACCATTTTCTCTGTCTCTGCCGCTGACCTGTCTGTGTCTGTCCTGTCTGCCTCTGTCCTGTCTCTGTCTGTCTGTGTCTCTGTCTGTCACTGTCTGTCTCTGTCTCTGTCCCGTCTGTCTCTGACATGTCTGTCTGTCTCTGACCTACCTGTTTCTGTCCTGTCTGTCTCTGACCTGTCTGTCTCCAACCTGTCTGTCTCTGGCCTGTCTATCTGCCTCTGTATCTGACCTGTCTCTCTGTCTCTGTATCTGACCTGTCTCTCTGTCTCTGTCTCTGACCCTTATGTCTGCCCTGTCTGTCTCTCAGATCTGTCCTGCTCTGAACCACGCTGCTGTGGTCCACGTGAACTCCATGTTGGAGACGATCCCTGTGAGGACGGAGGTTGATCAGTATATTGGGATCGATTATTCTCTGATCAATGATCCGATTGTGACGTCTCAGAGCCTCGATATGAACTTCAGGGTCAGACGGTTCCTCTGATTTTCTATGTTCACACAGGGTCAGATCTTAAGGGGACGTTAACATGTGTGTGTCTCTGCAGGGGATGTTCTTCGACCTCTCTGATCCAAACGACACGTTGGCGAACTACGCTGTTGACCCGGTGATCAGAGAGTACGACCGGATGGTCTACCTCGCTCTGTCTGAGTTCTTCTTCGACAGCGGGATGTTTTCTTACTACAGAGCAGGAATCTTCCAGATCCACATCGTCAACGAGAAGGTCTGAACCACCACAGACTCCCAAAACCACTGTAGACCCTAAATCACTATAAACCGTCAAAACTACCACGGACCCTGGAAACCACCACAGGGTCAAAACCATCAGAGTCCTCAATAATTAACATACAAAACCTAGAAACTTCCAAAATCTTTACGGACCCCCAAAATAAATACACCCACCAAAAACCATCACAGACCTCCAGAACCACCACAGACCCTCAAATCCTCTATAGACCCCCAAAACCAGCTTGAGTTATTAGTCCTGATAACTGACTTTATCTCATCTGACCTTCACTGTTTGTGTCTTCTCATCCTTCAGATGCCCAAAGACCTTGAGATGTTGCTGAGAACCACCTACTTCGGAACCATCATGATGCTGGTGAACACAAACACTACAGAACACAGTAAAGACACATTAGAGACACAGTAGAGATGCAGTAGATACACAGTAAAGACAGAGGAGAGACGCAGTAGAGACACATAAACACAGTAGAGACACAGTAGAGACACAAACACAGCTGAAACAGTAGAGACACAAACAGCAGAAACACAGTAGAGACACAGTAGAGACGCAGTAGAAACACAAACACAGCTGAAACATAGTAGACACATAAATACAGTAGAGACACATAAACACAGCAGAAACACAATAGAGACAGTAGAGACACAATAGAGACACACAAACACAGCAGAAACACAATAGAAACAGTAGATACACAATAGAGACACACAAACACAGCAGAAACACAATGTAGACAGTAGAGACACAGTAGATACACAGTAGACACACATAAACACAGCAGAAACACAATAGAGACAGTAGAGACACAGTAGAGATACAAAAACACAGTAGAGACACAGTAGAGACACAAAAACAGCAGAAACAGTAGAGACACAGTAGAGATACATAAACACAGTAGAGACACATAAACACAGTAGAGACAGAGTAGAGACACATAAACACAGTAGAGACAGAGTAGATACACAGTAAAGATACATAAACACAGTAGAGACACAGTAGAGATACATAAACACAGTAGAGACACAGTAGAGACACTGAAGGAACTGTAGGGGTGATGTGGTTCGGGGAGAGTGAGTGTGTGGTGAGCAAACAGAGTCTCGGTCAGAAGACATCAATGGCAAGGAGTGGAATGATGGAATTAGGCAAGGGAGAAGGCAGATTTCAATGCAACACCAGTAGCTTTTATTTATCTTTGATTTGATCTTTCTGTCGTTGTCACAGCTTATTTTCGTGTGCTGCATCAGAAAAAGGATAAGCAAAGAGACAATATAATTACAGACAAACAACGGAGTGGTCAATTAAACAATAAACAACAAATAAGTATGGGTGAATATACAATCCACAACTAAAAAGTAAAATGGTCAAGCGACAAACAATCTTACATGGCTCCTGGCACATGTCTGGGAACAAAGAGAGTAGGGTAGCAGAGCACATGTCAGCAAAGCCACCACAAAAGGCATACAAAGGAAACAATCAAAATGATGAATTGACCACTCACGTTAACTTGAAGACACACACAAATCAGGATACATGTGCTGGCAGGGAGTGCAAAGGATGAACTGAGGGGTGAACAAACAATTTATAGTCTCCGCCCCTTACCCAGCAGGTAAGGTGGGCATGGTCAGGTGGCAGGTATCTGCTGGGTTCACTTTGGCAGATTCACCATATTTATTTGTATTTTCAGACACAGTAGGGATACATAAACACAGGAGAGACACAGTAGAGACACATAAACACAGTAGAGACACAAATACAGCAGAAACACAGTAGAGACGCAGTAAAGACACAGTACAGACACATAAACACAATTGAGACACAGTAGAAGGTCCTGAGGACAGAGGGATGTCGTATGCTGTAAAGCCCTCTGAGGCAAACTGATTTGTAATATTGGGCTTTATAAATAAAATTGATTGATTGATTGCTTGACATGTCAGCAGGATCAAGGTTGTCTCTATATTACTAGTCTGAGTGGGCGGAAGTTTGCTGCATAGATCAGCCTCTCATTGGGCAGACCGAGCCACCCGCTGAAGTCCCGTCCTACCACCTCTGGTTGTGTAGCAGTTTTCAACCGTTTCCAACACGTCCTTTACTAACTTTTGTGGTGTTTGATCTTGCGGGGATGTAGCCATTTTTCTGCCATGGTTCGCATCCTGTAGACGATATTTTTGTGGGCGTGTTACACCAAAACCTGTTTCCCCCCGGCAATATTTTTGCAAGTGCACCGCTGCTGTGGCACCGGCCAGAACAATTGTGATTGGTTGAAAGAAATACAAGCAGACGGGTTGTTTTTTCCTCCAATCTGAAAGTGAGAGTCAGCCCAGCCAGACCTTTCTTTTCTTGAGAAAGGTCTGGTGAGCGAGACTACTATATTACTGCCTCATGTTCTCTCTGTATTCTCAGTGGAACTTGGGGTGGTACTACAATTCAATTCAATTTAATTTATAAACCCAATATCACAAATTACAATTTGCCTCACAGGGCTTTACAGCATACAACATCCCTCTGTCCTTAGGACCCTCACAACTGATCAGGAAAAACTCCCCAAAAAACCCTTTAACTGGGAAAAAACGGGAAAAACCTCAGGAAGAGCAACTGAGGAGGGATCCCTCTTCCAGGACGGACAGATGTGCAATGGATGTCGTACAGAACAGATCAGCATAATAAATTAACAGTAATCCATATGACACAATAAGACAGAGAGAGAGAGAGAGAGAGAGAGAGACAGAGAGAGATGCAGGACAGACGGTAATGACAGTAGCTTACAACAACATTAATGAATGTAATAATATTATAATTATAATTCTGGCTACTGTGGTATAATGTGTTGAATGTATGTATTAATATCTGGCAGTATACACGTGTGACAATAATCATATGTGTATAATAACAGTAGAAGTATGACTAATGACTAATGATGGCAGCAGCAGCAGGAGGCATCTGGCAGGACCACGGCAGCAGCACAACCACACACGTCACGCTGTCCAGGCACCGCTGTGATATGAGTTAATCTGAGAGACAGTGGAGCACAAAGGCTCCGGAGAAGAAGCCGAGTTAGTGACATC